GGGCCTGGGATGGGGGTGAGGGGGGAGGTGTAGGGGGGGTATAGGTAGGTAGGTAGGGGGTGTAGGTACGGAACAGGGGGTTACGTAGGTTACGTGGAACAATCCCTCTTCCGTACCTCCACTGGCCCTAAACCCCACCTCTTTCTCCGTTACATTGATGACTGTATCGGCGCCGCCTCGTGCTCCCACGAGGAGCTCGAACAGTTCATCCACTTCACCAACACCTTCCACCCCAACCTTAAGTTCACCTGGACCATCTCTAATACCTCTCTCTCCTCCCTGGACCTCTCTGTCTCCATCTCTGGCAACCACCTAGAAACCAATATCCATTTCAAGCCCACCGACTCCCACAGCTACCTGGAATACACCTCCTCCCACCCACCTTCCTGCAAAAATGCCATCCCCTATTCCCAATTCCTTTGCCTCCGCCGCATCTGCTCCCAGGATGAGGCATTCCACTCCCGTACATCTCAGATGTCGTTGTTTTTCAAGGATCGCAACTTCCCCCCCTCAGTGGTCGAGAACGCCCTTGACCGTGTCTCCCACATTTCCTGCAACTCATCCTTCACACACCCTCCCCGCAATAACAGCCAAAACAGAATGCCCCTCGTCCTCACGTATCACCCCACCAACCTCCGGATCGAATGCATCATCCTCCGACACTTCCGCCATCTGCAATCCGACCCCACCACCAAAGACATTTTTCCCTCCCCACCCTTATCTGGTTTCCGGAGGGACCACTCTCTCCGTGACTCCCTTGTCCGCTCCACACTCCCCTCTAGCCCCACCACACCCGGCACTTTTCCCTGCAACCGCAGGAAGTGCTACACCTGCCCCTGCACCTCCCCCCTCACCCCCATCCCAGGCCCCAAGAAGACTTCCCACATCAAACAGATGTTCACCTACACATCTGCTAATGTGGTATACTGCATCCGCTGTTCCCGTTGTGGCCTCCTCTACATCGGGGAAACCAAGTGGAGGCTTGGGGACTGCTTTGCAGAACACCTACGCTCGGTTCGCACTAAACAACTGCACCTCCCAGTCGCGAACCATTTCAACTCCCCCTCCCATTCCGCAGACGACATGTCCATCCTGGGCCTCCTGCAGAGCCACAATGATGCTACCCGAAGGTTGCAGGAACAGCAACTCATATTCTGCTTGGGAACCCTGCAGGCCAATGGTATCAATGTGGACTTCACAAGCTTCAAAATCTCCCCTCTCCCTACCGCACCCCAAAACCAGCCCAGCTCATCCCCGCCTCCCTAACCTGTCCTTCCTCCCACCTATCCCCTCCTCCCACCTCAAGCCCCCACCCCCATTTCCTACCTACTAACCTCATCCCGCCCCCTTGACCTGTCCGTCCTCCCTGGACTGACCTATCTCTTCCCTACCTCCCCACCTACACTCACCTTTACTGGCTCCATCCCCACCTCTTTGACCTGTCTGCCTCCTCTCTACCTATCTTCTCCTCTATGCGTCTTCTATCCGCCTCCCCCTCTGTCCCTATTTATTTCAGAATCCCCTTCCCCTCCCCCATTTCTGAAGAAGGGTCTAGGCCCGAAACGTCAGCCTTCCTGCTCCTCTGATGCTGCTTGGCCTGCTGTGTTCATCCAGCTCTACACCTTGTTATCTCAGATTCTTCAGCATCTGCAGTTCCTACTATCTCTGCAGGCAGGCAGGTTAGTAAGGATGAACTCAAATATGTTCTTCCTTCTTATTAGTTCCTTCACCACTTGTTTCAGATGCAGTCGAGGAATTATGTCCTTTAAGACTCAGTCAGCTCAGTCAGTAGTGTCCTCCCAAGTCACTCTTCATGCTGGACATTGATCATTGGCAGTCCCCTGTAGATGTGGATGACTCTGTTCCATTCTCATAATTCGCCTTGTAGGTGGCTGCACAGACCGATGCAGTTTCCGCAGACTGTGCCACACTTGGGGCAGAAGTTGGCCATAGTAAGCGGTGGGTGGGGCATTGATGTGGCAGCACACTCCTTTCACTGTTTTCACCTGGCTTCCACATTTTCCCAACGGCAAGTCTTGAGGTGCATGACACCTTCCCAGATGCTCCTTCTTCATTTTGGACTGTCTTGGACCAGTGATTCCCAGATGTCAATGGGAATGCCACACTTCACCAATGAAGCCTTGATGGTATCCCTAAAGCATTTCCTCTGTCCACCTGGGACCCACCCACCGTTGCAAAAAGCTGGGAATAGAGCACCTGCTTGCGAAGTCTGATGTCGGTCATGTTGTTGATGTGCCAAGACCATCGTAGCTATCCAGGGTGGTCAGTGCCTTGATGTTGGTCTGATCGGGGACACAGATTCGCAGGGTCTTGCACAGGTAGCGTTGGTGATAATGCTTGATAATGCAAAGACAAAGAACACATCAAACAATACTGGGGAGAGTACTTCAGAGACCAGGGCTCTGTTGTCAATCTGCACACCCTTGACTGCATCCCACGGCATACTACACGCCATGAGCTCAGCAACACTCCAGCCCTGCACACACTATAAAAGGCTGTCCACCAGCTTAAGAACAACAAGGCTGCTGGAGCAAACGGTATCCCTGCTGAGGCATTGATGTGCAGAGGCAAAGAGCTCCTGCTGCAGTGAATACCCTTGTCTACAATATCTGGAAGGAAGAGAGCTTCCTGGCACGTATTCGAGATGCCACAGCCGTGAGCATTTTCAGAAAAGGAAACAAGTCTGATTGTGGTAACTACAGGGGAACCTCTCTGCTGACGACTGTTGGAAAAGTCATCTCCAAGGTCCTCCTCAACTGTCTCTCCCCTGTGGCTGAGGAACTCACAGATTTACAGTGCGGCTTCCAGCCATGGAGGAGCATAATGGACATGATTTTCACCACACGGCAGCTGTAGGAGAAATGCCGAGAAAATAATCTACCCCTGTACATGGCCTTCTTTG